GTGAGCAGGGGGACCAGGTCCATGTTACAACTGTTGACCGCTAATGTTTTTCAGAAGGCCATGTAGCAGCAGAGGGGTGCCACTTCCCCGCTCCCACTGTACTGATGAGCCACCGCTGCAAGGGTGACAATGTGCAACAACGGAGGTTGGAAAGATAAAATTGAAGTCGACAGGAAAAGCCTGTGACAAAGAAGCCCTACAACTGAGATACCCATAGCTGAAAAATCTGTGAGAAAGTTGTTCAGCACCTGGCTGACACCCAAGGAGAGTTACATTGTTCTTTTCATTGAAAAAGGTTGGTGAACACTCCTCAATAAATTCCAGTGGCAGGCCTGTAATGAAGTGGAGCTGATGCAACTTGGCACGGTTTTAAAATTCACCGTACGTTCCAGCTCAGTAAAGATGTATTTCTGTTGCTTTATGCTTTCTTCATCCTTGATCTACAGGAGTAATAGATAGGGCGTGATCTCTGGCAGAGACAATAGCAGCATCAAACCCACTGAACTGCTGGGGCCTGAACACCTGCCACTAGAAACGCAGAGATTGCTCTTGTTGAGCAGCCCACAACAAAGCAATGCTGCTGACTTTACGGTGAGTTCAGCAAGCTTCGTAGCCAGCCAAGAAACAAGCAGCAAAGCGAGGCATTTTCAACATTAGTCATGTCCCATGCTGTTTACAGCTTTTCTAGATCATCCCTTCACCAAAAAACGTGTCGGAACCCAGGCCTGGGCACAGAAGTTACGTGCTCATTAAGCCTAGCTGGCTTAATTAACGTGGCTGTATCACCTACTACCTGGAGCTCCTGCAAGCTCTTCGTTAAGGATAATGCATAACAATGATCCCATTCAGATGTGAGAAAAATTACTGTTCTTCTGCCAAGGCATCTACCGAACTGAGAACGGCCGTTCCCAAAGCAAGGGTCACACCCTTCAGTGGGACTGCAAGCCTACCAGTAGCGTGATTATTTATGCTGGTGTAATGAGGCTGATGAAAGTGGGACTTACTGCCAGAATCAAGCTGAGGAGATTTTTATGGGTCTGACTGACTATTCTGAGCAGAAGTGCTTGCTCTCCAAATCCTATCCTTTCTCCAGCCCCTTTTCAAGACCTTGGAGAAGCATTTTTAGGAGTGTGAGAAAATTAATATTTTCAAATGTGTTACATTTATCTCAGTCTCTAAATCCGCTAAATTTTAGTTCTGATTAATATTTTCTTCAGCTCCTGTGATAAATATGGGAAATATTAGGAAAAAAATCTGTAGAGTCCTAATTGGTTTCCAATGATTCAGCAGCACATTTATAAATAGGGGGAAAAACAAGAGAACAAGAGAGAGCCCAGTCTCTAGAATATGCACTGCCCATTTTACGCAGTTGCCAGAACATTTTTGGTGCATAATTAACACTATTTTGTTGGTGAAGAACTCTGTGCTGAAGCAAATTTCTTAGCCTGTTTCTTACGTTCTAGTGCTAGAATACTTTGTACATTTTTATGTTAAACAATGCTGTTCCCCCTTGGATTCTGAACAGCGGATTAGAGCAAACTTATTTGGAGATAAGCAATGGACTTTTGTTCTCTTTTTTATTTTTTTACTTCTTTGTTCAGCATCCACGTAATAGAGAAAAGGAGAGGTGACATAATTTACTAATTCGATTTTTAGAAATCAATAACTTCAATGATATTGGAGTTCAGATGTTCCCTTATGCAAAGAGGAGTCAAATTGCCCATTATAATGTTAGACCATGTGCTAAATTACAAATTCGATGGTGGTCCCGGGATGCACAGGCATCCCCTTTGACTGCGACTGCAGATCCAGTGAGGTCTCTGTGACGCACGTGCAATTAAACCTGGACATTGTCTCTGAATAAAATTAAGAGTACTACAGCAAATTTCAGTATGATGTAAGTAAGTATTATGGCAGCATTTTTAGACTATGTCTTAACAATCTTTTATCATACGCTGTTCTTAATCACCGTCAACTCACTATACTTCCCTTTTCAGTAAAGAACAGTGATGTTATGCAACGTTACTATGTAGATCATGCCCTGTTTTTTCTAGTCCTATTTTGAGCAAATGTATCTGAGTAAAATTACATTTTTGGTGATGTTAAGTCTTCCCCCAGCAGTTAACATTTTGTCTATATTTATGTGACGTGACTTTACGCTTTGCGGTTTGGCAGATGGAGGAATGATTTTCTTCACATTTTTTATATGGTAAAGAATTTACAGGAGCTAGTTTAGCGATAGCAAGCAGAGGAGGCTTTGATTTGTTTATGTGTCACATATAACAAGCAGTGTCCTTCCACTGTAGTTGTTAATAACTAGCTGTTACAAATGGATTTGTGCCAACACAGAATCCAGCACCACAATTAGCAGTAATAGGAACTTCAGCTGGCAGCAGCAGTGAAGGCAGTAAAGATTAAATGACTGTGTTAACTGTCCCTCCATATTAAAAATCACGTACATTAGCAAAAAAATAAGAAAACTCATACCACTGTTAGCCCTGATGTTCCATTCTACTCTGGTAATTATTACAGAAAATACTGCTGTCCAGGACTAGCTATTTTTTGCAACATACATTCACCTCATTAATGCAAGATTCTGAGTATCCACACTCGTAAACCATCTCAAACTACAAAAACCTATAGATGACTTTCAAATGTTTGAGGATACAAATAATCTTTTGAAGAAGGTTGGTTTTTAGAGGCATTTCTCAGGTGCCTGTTACTGACTTCTAGCTGGTGTTGCACATGTACTTCCAAAAAGTCTACTTGGAAATTCCACTAAATTATATTCAATTTTTTTTTTTTTCTTGGTAGAAAATCTTCCTGGAGCTACAAAATCTCTGCAAAATGGTATTCATGGTAATGCTTCTATAGTGTAGAATATGGTCTTGGTCTAGTGCAGGTTATTAGCTGCGATAACAACAAACCCTTCCCCTTTGCCTGAACTACGGGTGAATTATGCTAATCCCTGTACAAACAAATTAATGAAAAAAAAATAGTATAATGAGGATTTGGATCGGTATTTTATTGTGCAGTATTAGCTGACAGAATACATTATAGATTAGCCCAAGCTTCTTGAGAGCAATATAGTTTATTGTCTCACAGTGTCCTACATGACGTACTTCTAAGACACAAATTATTTTCCACAGTTTAAATGAACTTCTACCAATATGCTAGAGCACCTCAGAAATATTTTAGGCTTACCAGTTGTCCAAACCTAACCTTTGAATTCATGAACACCATGAAACATCTGATTTGTAGGTCAGTGTGCAAAAAGCACGGCAGTTAACCCTGACCTGGAAGAGGCTTTGCAGCTGCAGTTACGCTGCAGCACTGAGTGACACATCTTTGTCACACTTTGTGAATTGCCATAGCTTAAGCTATGGGTCTGCATCCTACTCCTTGCATTTATTATGGACAGGATTAAATCTTGCAAGTTAAAACACGTCAGCTCTCTCCTCGTCATTCTGCGAGCACAGGACAACCAAAAGAGCTTTGCAAATGGACAGGGAACACCATGTATTTTTTGCCAGCAACTTTAGCATACGCATGAGCAAGTATGTGCCAAATTTATGCACATGAACGTGGATGCTCTTGCTGTAGTTTTCAGGACTAGAGCAATTGCTTTGGTACTGACAGTTAAAAGCTTCTGCATAAATAGACGCCTGGTGCTATACTCTGACAGTGGTTAGATTTTCCAGTGACAATAGTTTGCCAGGAAGCAAGGCTAGTGAAAAAAAGCCAAATCCAATTAAAACGGATCATCAGGTAAACGTGAGTTTTGGCAGCACAACAGAATTAGTCACTTTAAACTCCACTGAGGACACAAACACCTCGCTTCGTAAGAAATGCGACCGCTACCAGCAGTATATGCCAAGCTGTCCATCTTACCTGCTAGGGCCACCAGCAGCACATCAGGAGACACTAATTCCACAGGGCATTACCTACCCACGTCGGATGGCATTTCCCCCAGTACGCACTGTTCTTGGCAAGTGCCCAAGCACCAGGCTAACCCGATGGAGAGTTGTTTGTTTAAGCTCAGGGCAAGGTGTAACAGTGGATGCAATTTGCCTGCTGTACGGGAAAGGGCAGCGCCTCTAAGATCATGGACAGACAGAACAACCTCTCCAAAGAACTGGACTCAGGCAGGGAGAGACAGAAGAGCATGTGCTTTACTGTTTTCATGAGTTTATAGATGAATTTTAAAAGAATGTATCTTATGAAGAGGAATTCATAAAGCAAAAGCAGTTAAGTCCAAATTTTTCACTGAGACATGATTGCTTTTTAACTTCATGAATAGCAAATAGGGAAAAACCATGGAAACACATTAATTAACACAGTAAAAATGAGCATGAAAATTTCAACAGCACCAAGGCCACCGTACACCATAGCTGAAGGCAACAATTCTTTCAGAAAGCCTTGCCCACCTGCTTTGAACTTCTTGAAACCACTGGAAGGTATCTACAGGGTTGTGATGATTAGAAAATTATACTGCTCCCAGAAAAGGGAAACAAAACCAAAAACCCAACAAAAAAACAAAACCACCACATACCACCAACAAACCAAACTAAAACCCAAGCCCCCACATTTACTTATTGGCTGTAACACGAGATCCTCAAGACAGGAGAGGGCTTAAGGAGTAGACCATTGCAGGCTTCAATTTATCAGCATAAATAGGACATCTGTCTAAATAAAGGCATTATGTAGAGGCCTCTTCCTGCCAGAGATGACAAGAGAACCAGGTTGAAGATGAACAATAACATGAAGGGTCAAGGCACCTCTTCTGAATATGAGCTGTTGAAGTAGAGTGTTCATAAAAGCAGGGTTTACTTCCTAAAGAAACTGTCTATTAAAGAACACGACACAGAGTAGTCCTGATTCATCTTGTTCCAGAACTTTATCAGTGTAAAACTGCATAGTCTAATGTTTCGTACAGTGAAAAAGGTCAGTATAAAAATACTGCGCTGTCATTCTTTATCCACACTATGAGAAAAGCCCAGTTCATTATAACAGGAAATAATACTTTATTATAAAATCTGCATGTAAACAAGTAACAAATTAATTGAATAACGGCTAATGGAAGTGCAAATTAACTGCATAAAATGGTATCTGTTCTGTATTTAACTATATATATATATAACCTGTTTTTTCCCATTCTAATGTGGTTTTACTCCCCCCCTCCCCACATATAAGTTTAAAAAGATTTATCATTGTTTGCTTTATACTAAAAAGAGTGTACGAGCCTGCGTACAAGTTTAAGTTTTGCTCTGCAAACGAGACAAGTCTATGGTGATACTTATCATCGACCTTTCTTAACTTTCCATCTCAGGTATCCACAGGACAAGAGGATATAACATATGTACACAGTGAAAACGTGGGCATGTCAAGCCACTTATATAGTTCGTTTACTTGCACACATTGGAACAAACCATTTATCAATGAAGCAGACATTGTAGTGTAGCTTCCAGACTTGCTTGTGCACCTTAAGGCATTAACGAGAGTCTTAATTGATGTCCTTCTTGTTATCACCATGAGGATCATCCATACGCTTCTCATAACAGTCTAATGCTTGTTCATCACCCATGTGCAACATCTGGCCTTGCTGAAAGCTTCTAAAGCACAGATAAGTCATGGCAAGACTTTGATTTTGCTTTGAAAGCCATCTTCTTATTGTTCTTTGCCACAATTCTCCCAAGGAATCGCTTTGCCTTTTTGCCTATGCTTTCTCTTCTTTTTGTGTTGGCCATTCTCCTCGCGTTGTCTTCTTTACTGTCTTTGCGAAGCCTGATCTGCCGAACAATACCTTCGAACAGGTCCTTGACATTATGATGAAGAGCAGCCGAGGTCTCGATGAATTTGCAGTCAAATACAACAGCACAGGCCCGTCCCTCTGGATGGAAAGAAGAAAAGGGAGATGAGTGGAGATGGACATTTTCTCTTCAAATATAATGGCAACAAAACAAAACAAAAATTGACTTTAAGGTAAGGGAAGTGCCTTCGGTGCCACAAAAGAAAAGTGCAAATTTCCAGTCATGGTTTTGCCGTCTTACTTTTCCTGGGTTTGGTGTGGTGTGGTCGGGAATCTCATTTGACGAATGGTACTGAATGTGGGGCAACAATGGTCCCACAGGCAGACAGACCACCACAGTCTTGTTTAAGAGCTAAAGCTGATTTAGGAGAGGCACTTGGATGCACACTTGTTTGACAGGAAGCAGTGAGAGGTAGCGAAAGAAATAGGTTTTATTTCTTCTGGAAGTTTTTGAGCAATTATGCACCTCTACCTTGCTCTAACAAATAAGAGTGTTTTCCACACTCGTTACAAAGGAAGCTGGTACAATCCACAAGGTCAGGTCGCTGACTAGATCACTAGAGGTCCTGAAGTTGAACCCCATTGGATTTGACTAGGGCTGCATTCAAAATGCAAGATGCTCGGTGTTTCAGAAATAAGCATGGGGCTCTGGACCTTGCTGCAGTGCAAATTTCCATGTTCAACTTGTAAATAATGGCAAAGCTGTAAACCTGAGCTAAGTCCTGATGTCGCCATTAGGACCAGTCAACTGTGCACTGCCACCAGCCTGAAAACAGTGATAATCTCCTGATGAACTCCAGCCAATTCCCTGTGCAGGCATTTAACACAGGAATCAAGGCAAAACTCGACAGCAAGAGATGGTTCATCAAGGCACTTCCCAGTTTAAAAAAAAAAACCAAAAAACTACCGCCAAAAACCAAAACCACCAAATATTTAACTAGGCGAAATTAATACTGTGTTGTTGGCAGTGGTTACCATGCTCAAGTTACTGAAATGCTAGCTGGAACTCGCTGAGAAAACTCTCACTGATCACAACTGCAGAACATACTCAAAAAGGCTTTAAGCTGTGCGAGCCTGGTCCCACCAGCTCAACTCAAGTGTGATGGAATCACTTGTAGAAGGAAGAGGATTGTGTGGGATCACCCTTTTCAAAGGCTGCCTGGATTCTATGACATGGGACTTTGGTCCCTTCAGAAGCATAGCTCTGGCTATCAGATCTTGAGACTAGCAAGGGCTGCTGCACACAAAACATGCCATTAAACCCCTTCAGTTAATACTGACCAAAAATGAATCCTACACAAAGCAATAGGCTGAAGCTGCAGCTCTGAAGCATTCCTTTCGTTTGTATGGCAGTCCAGAGCACTGCTCTGCACGGTCACAAGTCTTCTGCCACCACGACCTCCACTGTCTTCTGTGCTACCAAGTACCTCTGCATGAACCAGCTGGGTTGATTTCTCCAGCGTGCCTCAAACCATACATTCTTCTACATCAAAACCAGACCGTTTCTGTTGGCCATGAACCTCCATAGCCTTTGCTACCAATTTAGACATTACTGTATAAATGAATGTCTCTTACCATCAACTGAGACTTCCCGGGACCTGACCAGGTCACTTTTATTGCCCACAAGAATAATAGGAATGTCTTCTGTTTGCCTTGCTCTTCTTAGCTGGATTCTTAGCTCAGAGGCCTTTTCAAAACTAACTTTGTCTGTCACTGAATATACAATAATATAGGCATCTCCCATTTTCATACAGTGGTTCTGAAGCCATTGGCTGTCATCCTAAAATAAGAGGCAAGAAATACGTTTATGACACTGAAAAATCTATTCAACAATGATTAACTATTTAATTATTGTAAGCACCTTAAAGATATTTTTTCTTAGCTTTATTATAAAGAGTCAATAAAAACAAGCCAACCTCCCTTTTTTAATATTTTTGTTACTTAAAATATATTATGAAATTCTGTTTCCAGAAATAATATCGGGTCTGCACTGATCGGACTGTGACTCCCTGATTTTACAGTCATTCCCTGGGCTGCTCACACAAGCTGCCACTCAAAGCGTTAAGGGATTCACACTCCAGCACTACTCAGGTTTTTAAACTGCCTGCCTGGCTACAAGAAATTAATTGCAGGAGAGAACAAAGGCAGTATGAATTCTCGTTTTTTAATGTCACTTTAACGTTCCTGATCCGATCTAAGAAACAGGCAGACGTAGCTGTTCCATTCCTGCGTTTAAGAGTGAACAACTGAGTAAGCCACAAAGAAAAATGATCTTAAATCTGTAAGTACCTGCTCCCATATATCAAACACCACGAGAGAAGCTTCTTCCCCGTCAACTATAATTGATCTGTCGTATGTATTTCCTACGGGGGGAAAAAAAAAAACCACAAGAGTTCAGAAGAAAGCAGTTACT